GTGTGTGTGTGAATGCAGACATGTCAATGCTGTCTTGTCTAATGTAAAGTGAAGCCGACTGCTTGTCATGACTGCATGTGCGCTGTTGTTGTCCCTGAAAAGCCCAAAACCAAAGAAAGGGAGTGGGAGAATGTGAGTGTTTTCTTCGTCTCAGAACTGATTTCTCCGATTGTTCGATCTGCCGATCTCGAATGAGATTGGATTTTCGCCGAAATGTTTCATCGGTCGTTTTCGCCAAAATGTCGAATCTAGTGACTGCAAGTGTAGATTCCGATGCAACGAACGTTTCCCCGAAATGTTTTCTCTGATTGATGTCCTTAGTGCGATTGTAGATTCAGCAGGTGGCGACATTCGGATCGGCAGTCGGCCGAGGTCGGATGCCCGCCGCGGCCTCAATCACTTGATTCCCATTCTGACTTTCACGTTGGGACCATCGTTCCCAATCTCCGCTTCTCAGTCAGACGGAGCGAAACCAGTGTGGCCTGCACCCCTTCATGTCGTCAATCGGGCGGCCGATCAAGGCGGCCAAATCAACAGCCAATTCCTCTCCAGTCATGTTCTCATACCGGCCTTCCGGAACAGTCGGCATTGACTGGGCGGCCACAAAGGTGTTGGCAAGAATGGCACCCTTGCCGAGGCACTGCGCTTGATGAATGAGGCCTTGACGCCGCGCAGATTGTCAAGGAATGGTCCCGTCAATCTGGAAGTGTCTGCAGCGCTGACCAGAATGGACTTCGGGAAGGATGTCACGAAGATTTGGCAGAGGCTGGATGAGTTCATCACCAGTGACAGCCGAACTGAGAGTGACAAGATTGTCTCGGAGGCCTGTGCTATTGCAGACCGACTGTACAATGCTCAGGTCGGACTGGCTGAGGCTGTTTACCGCCGCGAGTGGAATGAAGAATGGGCTCCTCTACTGTCCTTCATCATCCCTGCGACAAGGAGTGGAGGACTGTCAGGATGCAGATCTGAGCACCCTGATGAGCACTCGAATGGTCCGATGTCGAGCTTGCGGCTGAGAATGAACTCCTTGGGCATCAACACTGTGCAGAATGGCCCGAATGAATGCATGGTGGAAACGACCAGGTATGCAATGACCAGGGCGGAGAGAATGTTCCTTACCAAAGCGAACTGGCACCTGGAATGGAAGTGCAGCACGAATGCCAAGGAGAATCTCGCGCATGACCTAGCGAATGTGTACGACTGGGTGATGCTCCCTTCGAGTGTGGGAGAGAAGTTCTACCAGGATTCTACCAGACTGCCACGATTGACCTTTCGCAGTCCCCCTGCCACTAGTTGAATGGCAGCTTCAGCACACTGTCAACAATGCGCAAAACTGTGCAATGGTTCTGTCAGGACTGCTTCGACGAGAATGCAGCCCATGAAGGGATTGTCTTCATTGTCCGAAGGAGGACGAAACTGGAAGCCCAGCGTTGAAGCTCCCAATGGGAAAATAAAGTTGGAGACTTACTTCAACAGACAATTCACTGATCACAGCTCGACACAGAATGGCTTCCATGAAGTGCCACTGCGAGTTGCGAATGTGCCCTGGAAGTGGATCTGGAATCAATGAAGAGCATGGGCATTATCCGAATGCCCCTGAATGATCCGATGATGAGAGCCACCAATGGCCCCGTCTGGCCACTGTTCGCAACAGCGGCTTGATCGAATGGCGACTGATGGGATAATGGTTCCCGTGAATCAGGCAGGCCTTTGGCGGTGGACTGGATCATGACTGTTCCACCCGGGATGAGCTCTATGATGAAGACGATGGTGAGACTGCGAATGCCTGGAGTGGACCAGCCTTCTCGGCAATGGCATCAAAGAAGAATGCAGCGACTGCACCCCAGGACCTGCGACTGTCCTCTCCCAGGTCGCGAATGCATTGAACCCGGGAGCTGACGTGATCCTTCGAACGAACGTTGAATGGATTTCTTCAGCGGGTTGCCGAGACCGAAGTTCTTGGATTCAATGATGTACAGAACAGGGCCCGACTGAGAGCACGTCGACTGTGCAGTGCAATGTGCCTCCATCTTTTGCGAATGACTCGAATGTTTTCTGTGTTCGAGCAAACGTCCTGATTGAGCACAATGCGATGCAATGATTGGTTCGTTTTCTTTCTCCCTGTGAATGATGACTGCTATTGCTAGTCGTGAACGGTTCGTGATTTGAATCATCTTCGACTGAAGTCAAGATCAAGGGACTGTGTTAAATGACACGAGCCCAATGCACGCCCTAATGTTCAGGATGCAGTTGTGAATGCAATAATGGCTCAAGACTGGACGACTGCTTGGTGGCAACAAGGAAAGAGGTGTGATTGGGGAGTATACTGTATACTGTTCTCAGGTGCTTGCTCCCAACTGTTTGGGTTGTATAGTGGAAGTTTGCGCCGCCGCCGCCGCCGCCGCCGC